CGTGTTTGATTTCAGATTGAACTTTTTGTGTAACTGTAATTAGCGAGAATCTTTGAGTTTTCATTTCATTTTCCTAATGAAACTAATGATTTTTTAAGAACTTCAATCAAAAAGGAATTGTTTGCTTTTAGTGAAAATATGATACCGTATCTATTGTGAATGTAACTGAGGGGGTTGTATTTTATCATTTTTAGGTTTTATTGAGGCTGCAATCTTTGGGTAGTACTTTGAAAAATCATAAGGTGAACATGAGCACTCTTGAAGTGAGGGGCCCTTCTCTTAGAGGGTATCGACGGAGAAAGGCATTGCTCGATCTGAATGTTCCACCCAATGATATCAGAGAACTGGATGGTACTTCCCAACAGGCTGGTTATGGGGAACAAACTAGCCAATCCGTACAGCTTGGACCACCTGCAACTATTGATGTTGAGGCTATTGATGATGATGTAATTGAATCTTCTGCTAGAGCTTTCGCAGAGGTATGCTTCTCTTGTTTCATTATATTTTGATGTCACTTAAAGTTTACATGAAATCTATCTTTATGGATCATTTGCATCATGCTGATTGTTATTAACTTATTGGGATTTCATCAGGCTCAGAACAATTCAAGGAGGAACCGTGGAAGGACTGTTGTTGATATAGATTCAGGTAGTTAAATTTATTTGGAATGCTGGTTTTAGTATTTTGTTTGACCTCATGTGCCACCTGCATTGTCATACGCATATTGCATAGCAGAAGCTTTTTTTATGATCTACCTTGTAAACTAATTCCATTTATCTTCACGAGTCAAAAGATTCCTTGTTAATAACAATGTTGAAGCCTTGGTTTTTAAGGGTGCAAGGCTCATCGAGACTCAAAGGGTCCCTAGAGCCTAGGCACAGGGCGTAATCAAGGCGTACCTGTTAATGCTAAAAAACTTGTAAACAAATCCTAGAACATTTCCACATCAGTTAACCACTGGTTGACTCCTGAAAAACTTAGTATCCTTCCTAGACTATGTTCTCTCCTTCCCACACTATGCTCTTTCACCATTACTTGTTCCCTACTCGAGTTAAACTCATTTCTTTGATTTATAAAACCTTAGTTTTTAAAACACTTTCATACTGAGTTAGGGTTATACTAGAATCTCCTTCTCACACTTTGATTTGTTTTTAAAGTTGATATGAGCATATTAAATAAAATTTGAATGAAATAATTAACTGTGTAAGTAAAAGATATTGAATAAAAAATTACAGTTGGGAAGGATATTTGTTTTAGAAATGGTCAATGTAATTATTAGATAACGTAAGGCTGCACTATATATAATTATAAAAAAAGGGTGAGGGATAAGGTGGCACTATTCTATTTTTACCATTTTTTTCTGAAATGATCTATTCTATCTATTATATTATAGATTATTTTTATTATATTAGAATAAGACAAAAAAGAAGGGTGGAGGGATAAGGCTGCAGAAGCGGCAGAAAAACAAAACAGGGTGCCTGACGCCTCACCAAAAAATTACAAAAAGCGGTGCGCCTGCTGGGATTTCTGTATCGCGCTGCGCCTTAGGTTTTCAAAGCGTTTTGCGCTTTCTAAAACCATGGTTGAAGCCCCATTAACGACTGATTTTTTTAAGGTAGATGTCCTGTGAGTTTCAACTCCTGTATTGACTTAGGTGCATTGTTAGTTTTTGTGAGGTTCAGGGTCCTTGGGACAAATTGTTCTGCCCTATAAATTGTTGAATATAAGGAATTGCAGTTCATCTTTTACATTTGAAGTCAGGCTAATTAGAAATGCATCAATCTCATTCCACTTAACCGAACACAATGCAATCCAAGTGAAATCTAGGTTATATAATGTGCCTTGCAATTGATTAGAAGATGCTGATGGATCAAATGCATCTTTATGTTACTCAAGAGAATTGCAATAAAATGGAAATAAAACAGGAAGTACTATTAGTAATTTTACTTTTTCTTTTTAATGCCTATATTTTCTTGGAAGATGTAGTCACTCCTTTTGCTGTATGCTGAGCATTGCCAACCTTACTCTTATAGTGTTTGCGCTTACTAACAAGAAGAGAAATTTGTTAATTAAAATACAATTCTTTGGTTTCTAACATAGTTGTTTACCCTTGTCTAGGATTTGTGGTGTGTGAGTAGGATTTACGAAGGTTGATGTTATTGCTTTTCAACTTTGTAGCTTATGTTTTACTGGTGTGATTATCTAGGTTCTTTATTTACTTAATCATTCTTTGTAGTTATTACCCTATATTACTCTGTGTTTGTAGTTGGTGCAGCTCACATCCCTCCCCTTCTAGGCTGGAGGACAACTGATAATAATCAGAATAGGGCCCGAAGACTTTCTCCGAGCCCAAGTGTTATCAATTTGGAATGTTCAACACAGTCAGTGGTAAGAACATTTTCAAGGAAAAATATACATATTTCCTTACTTCTGTCTGTGCACTTGTGTTTGTATGGATGCATTTCTGGTTTTTATTAAGTTTATGATGAATGCTTTGGACTTTGCTGGCTGGCAGGTTGAGGAAATCATAACACCTCAGTCGCCTCAAAAGGAACCGACCTTCAATTGTCCAATTTGCATGGGGCCGTTAACGGAGGAGATGTCAACAAGATGTGGACATATATTCTGCAAGGGATGCATTAAAGCTGCAATAGCTTTTCAGCCAAGGTGCCCAACTTGCAGGAAAAAAGTCACTGTGAGAGAACTAATTAGGGTCTTCCTTCCATCGGCCACTTGAATAATGGAGTTCAAGTCTAACTAGTAACGTAAGTGTAGTATTATTCTATTTCTCATTGAAATCAACGTCTGATATGTATTGGATTTTGTTGATGGTATTATAGAGTGTATAAGAGTATGTTGATGCGATTATTATAGTATTTTGTTTCAGGGTATAATAGAAACTGTCCTACGGAGTGCATTCAGGTTGTGGTGCTAATTTTGGAATTTGACTATGCTTTAGTGGACAATGCTTTGCATTCAATTCATCAGCAGCTCAGCTTCATCGGCATCAAGACTTATTATTACAATTTTATATATAATTGGGTAGCTTTTGGCGGCCAAACTTGGTTAATTTGTGATTGGTTCTACTTCTAATATTATAAATTTATATAATAGATTCCTTTACAATCAATAATGATATTTTTATATAAAGGATTCCTTTACAATTTATAATGTTATATAACGGTGAGTTTTAACTAAAAATGTTTTTTTACCTTAAAAGTTACGAAGGTTTCACAATTAATAATTTCAAATATAATTGAAAACGTAATTAGGTTGTAACAGAATAACTATTATGTAGTTTATATGGAAATATCTTATGAAAATGCTTCTAATATTATTTCTTAATGGACTTGGATGAGTGGGTTCCTTATTTTTAGTGGGACGAGAAGACGAGTTTGTTTAAAAAATATTCTTTGATTATTGAAAAATAATTTTAAAAATAGAAATTTTAAAAAAGAGAACTCGCCACCTTGGAATTCAAAAAATTAGTCGATTTGTAGTCGTTGGTCAAATAGACAGTTCTTTAACGGTCACAATGGAACTCGTTTCCCCGAGCTAAATTTTAAAAAATATATAAATTAATTAAAAATAATAATAATTTTTATTTAAAGAACATTGTTTAGAAACTAATAAAATTTATTTATATTTTCTAAATTCTTGACGATGCCGAGGAGTGGTCGAATGATAATAGCACGGGGTTCGTCAAGTACGGCTATGTCGTTAGCTTTTATCATCATCGTCGTCTTCATCTTGCAGATGAGGTGTACTTGACATACTCTGAGATCCACCTTCGAAATACGGTGATGCGCTTATGGTATTTGATGTCATCATTGTCGTTACTAAATCAACTTGGCGGCTATGTTGTTGACCATATACGATATGATCTCATTCACCCTCAACCGCATGTTCTATCAAAATGTTTGAGTGTGTTGCATTGCATCCTATGAACCTCCAACCTAATTCGATTGAGTCTCTTTTGAAGTATGATATCCATGATAGAAAATGAAACTCGCCTAAGATACATTATATTAATCTTCATCTACAGATGCTAAAGAAGAAGAAGAATATGTCAATGATTTCTTCTTGGACTTGGAGAATCTGGCATGATGTTGTTTTCATTCTCACTTATATTGTGGTGTCGTGAGATATGATTTCTTATTTGCTTCGTAATTTCGGAGATAAAGAGAACAATTGAAATCTAGGTCCAACGGTATAATATCGTACTGTGGGGGGAGCGATAGATGTTGCTGATTCCATAGCTGGATGTAATAAGCGTGCTTTGCTGGACAATTTTCGGTATATTTCCCATGCGAATCAATTCTATGGAGCGCGTCCATCTCAATAATTTGCGTAGGAATCGCCTGATGCGACGCATACTATCGCAGTATTGTATCGGCGACATGCCATTCAACAATCGTAAAATGTAATAAAGACATCGCACCACACCATAAATCGGATCCCTCAAAAAAATTGTTGTGGCAATAATAAGTAGATATCGTCGTCAACGTACGGAATTCAAAAAAATAAATATTAAATATCAAAGTTAATATATACAAAGTTTAAAAATTGACCTGGAAAAATAATAAAAGAACAAATGATAAAAAGTTGATCCTCATCTGTATATCTTTTGCAGTGACATCCGACAACTTCGTCTTAGTTATTTTATGGCGTCATCTAAAATATTTAAAAATAGAAAATGATAAAAAAATGAATAAAAAGTAATTCAAATTTAAAAACAAAGTTAAAAAATACCTTCAAGCAAGAGGAAATTCAACCGGAACTGTTGTAATCGGCGTAAAAAATAAGAATTGATACTAGACCCACGATTATATTAATATTAGATAGCCTGCTTCATCTACTTTTCGACCTTGCTCGATAAAATTATATATATTATCAAACGTTAGGAATATTTATTTGCGCGAATAACAAAAGGAGTACATTTGATCCATATTTATACGCTCGTATAAATATATATAATCTAGGGAAGAAATGTTTATATATGAATGAGTGGTCCGAAATGAAATGATTGAGTTGAGGGGGACAAAGACAGGGAAAGTTTCCAAAGTGACTTTTGTTTTTCGTTATCAATGGTAGTTTTATTATTTTCTCTCTCAATCTCTCCCATCTATTCACGTTGCTCTCTCTTCAACTCTGTTTCGACTTCCCCTGTTCCTATCCATCACCATCTTCTTCAATTTCTCACTTTCTTCACCGAAAATGTCCGAGTTTTCTTTGACGACCGCCGAGAGGAAAACTCACGACCTGTCAAGTCTTTTGCTTTCTGACTTTATGCTCTTTTGTTCTTTCATTCTCTCTCACCCTCTCTACTCCTCCTACCTCATCTTCTTCTCCCCTTATTTCGTCAAGATTTTCTCTTTTCTTTCCCCTCTCTTTATCACCACTGCCCTTTTGCTTCTTTCGTTTTCACTCCCACTTTTGTCAACCATGAATCCAATATAAGTTTCCTACTTACTGCCTACCAAACGCTTGTTGAAACGCTGAGGTCTAAAGTTGGCGATTATGATGATGATCAAAGTGATGGGTTTGGAAGCTTTGAAGAGGTTGAACCATTTAAGATCGTGTTTAAGGAGATGGAGTCTCAAGGAGATTGCTTTCAAGCTGTTGAAGAAGCTCCCAATGAAAACAAGGGTCATTTAGGTGTGCCTGAGGCTGAGAATGAAAAACCACCGGAGAGTACGGAAACGAGTCAGGTAAAGGCTGTGGTGAAGATCTTTGAAGACTTTGTCGTCAAAAAGGATGGAGGAGAAAATTTGTCGTCGAAAAAGACAGGGAAAGAAGTCAAGTCACTTGGCGTGGAGTTCAATAAAGTTGATGAAATCATGACAGGGGGCTCCAAGGCTGTGGGGAACAACAAAATAAGTGATGTTAAAGTGATGGGTGCTGAAAATGGGTACGAGAATGCTGCCAAAGCAATGGTGAATTACCAAACAATGGGGTCAATGAGGAAGCAAAATGAGTGGAAGAGGACATTGGCATGCAAGCTTTTCGAGGAGAGACATTCACACAATGTGGATGGTACTGGTGAAGGGATGGATTTGCTTTGGGAGACTTATGAAACCGACTCTAAAGTAGAAATGAAAGGAAAGAAAAGTGGTGGTGGTAACAACAATGGCGGCTATTACTACGATAATGATGATTATGAGGAGGAAGAGTCGAATGGGCAATTGTGTTGCTTACAGGCGTTGAAGTTGTCGGCTGGGAAGATGAATTTGGGAATGGGGAGGCCTAACCTTGTTAGGATCTCAAAGGCGCTCAAAGGGATTGGATGGTTGCACCATGTTGGCAGCAGGCATGGCAAGAAGAAAGGGCACCATTGAACTTAGATTTCACTTCACCCTGATGACTCACAAAGTAAATATGTTGTTTGATTTCACATCAAAATGTAACCCCATTTGAATGAGTAGAACATCAAACGATGAATATGCAGGAATCAAAGTTTGAACATTTGATCATTTTCCTACTGTTAATGGCGAAGACAAGTTTTCCATTTTTCCTGCCTTGTTGGTGCATCTTTTCTGCATGGTGTGGTAGAATAGAATAGTTTAAGTAGGCCCAGAGAGATGTGCTTTATCATTGTCCATAAAAACCGTTGGTTCCTCAGAGCCAAACCTTTTTCTTCTTTCTCAATGGTTAAAGGGGCCTTCAGATTATGTCACATGCAATTCTGGCTATAATGGAAGTTTCACCTAATGAATGATCTTTAACATTTGTGGCAGGACTTCCAGGTTTGCATCTAAATGCAACAGGCAGTTGCATATTAAACTCCATTTTTATGTGCACTCTTGTATGTTTAGGGTAGTAATTTAAGAAGGGTAAAATTCAATAATGCAAGGTCGTGTTATCCAGAATAGATGGAATCTTTGCAACCAACTACCTATTTTTGTGCCCTTCCGGCCACATGTGGGCCGGAGTGTTTGTTTCCAAAGCAAGCGAATTGGAAATATGCCCAAATTCTCCCACTCATGTTATGATTTTGTGAACACATCTATGCCATCATTTTTGTTAGGTATTTTCCCTTCCTGTCTCACCGTACAGGCTTCACCTATTTCTTTTCTTTATTGAGCGTCGGAACTTCAAGTTAATACCATCACCATCATTCATTTATATCACATGGTTTTATAACTATTACAAAACCAATGGAGTACACAACATCAAATAAGGATAAATTATAAATTACAAATATATATATATATAATGAAATAAGGATAAATTATAAATTTAGTAATTTAATTTTACTCTCTCCCATTTCATGTATTATTTTATTATTATTTTAATATAATATGACATTTATTATTATTCTTAATATAAAAATAATTTTAAATATAAAATTAAATCATATTTTATTATTTTTAAAATATAATACAGCATTTATTATTATTTTTAATATAAAAATTAAACCTAGATGGTGATCATTCACTATTCATCATCGGTAGCCACCATCATCATCGTCAACGACCGTAGATGGTAATTGTTAAATCCCTAATTTTTAACATTTTACCACCACAGTAATACAAATACAAAAAAAAATTATCTCTAAACTAAGATATTTAATGCTTTGTTAAAATGTATTTAAATATCATATTTCAACCGTTTTACCAAAATGAAACAAAATCAAAATATGAACTCTCGATGCTTTCCTCTAAAAGTCTACGCAACAATTTGATGAATCACTACACTGAAAACTGGATGTTATCTTCTGATCAATGGTCGACCTATTTCAAGCAGGGGCAGATAGTACCCTTGGTGCCACATTCTTGGCTGAGGCTGCATTGAAAGTTGGTTCACCAGAGCAGTTCACACGGCCGCCACCACCTCCCATGTGCTCACCCCTCTGATATCCATCACCTCCACGGTGGTTTGAAAATCCTCTATTGATGCTCCTGTTGCCAAACTCTCCCCAGCTATATCCCCTGCCGCCGCCGCCGCCATAGTTTCCACGCCCCCTTGCACCCTCATTTCTGTATCCAGTCCCACCAACAGATGAAGACCTTCCTTTGTTCCCTGTAAATGAAGAACAGTCTTAAAACATGCAAAATATATTTCCACAAGGTTTGAAGTCCAATCTCTTAAGACTAACCACAAAACTTGTTTTTCCTTTAATGACCATTTACATCAAATCAAGAGAAGGAAACATAAGTGTCAGGCCAACAGCTAATGATTACAACTGTTGATTGTTGAAAAAATGGAAGCACAGTTTCACTGCTGTTTCCATTGTTCCCATAATCATAGATTCATAGATGAGCAAAGTACTCCCCCGTTGTGGGAATCTTGAGCATCTATAGTTGTTATTTCAGCAGTGAATTCTCCATAACCAAATGAGACTATGTTGTCATTAATGGCCTGGTCCACAAAACAAAGCACTATAGTTTCAAATTACCAAATTTAATTCAAGGCATAACTGTTTAGAAACTAAATGAAAAAAATGGGTTCTAAGCTCCAATACAACCAACCACACAAGTAGAAGAACAAAGTGGGTTACATAACCAGTTCATTCTGCAATTAGAAATTTCAATTATTAGAAGTTCCTAAGAACACCTTGCCAAATACAGTGGTGGAGTTGTCCAAGATCAAAATCTTCAATGTTATCGTGAATTCACATTACAAACCAAGTAAACCTGCACTTACCAATAAATGCTTTGAAAAGGGCAGGAACCATGGTTTTCAAGCTGACGTTAAATAAAAGTAGGAAAACAAAAAAGAAATAAAGTGACACATAATGACTTCCAAACACTTGACATCTAAAAGGTTTGGCCTAAGACAAACACATATGCATGAAGAGACAGGTGGACATAACTCACTTGCATAGTTGTGAAACGCATGACACCAGTTTCTTCAGGGCGACCAAGTTTGCTGCTATCATGGTAAAATCGGTGAACCAGCTCAGGGGAATGATGTAAGATATGATAGTATTGATTTACAAAAGCATTCCCGACCTAAATCACCAACAATAGATGCCAAAGCTTAACTTTAAATAAATAGTTACTAAAACACGAAAATAACAGGTGGGAAACATGTCGTAACCGGTTTTCGTCCGGGCACGAAATATTTATTTGGCGGGAAAATTGAAGTGAATAAATAGTTTTGAAAATAAATAATTTGGGAGTCACCATCGGCCTTTTGGGATAGGTAGGTCGAATACCTAAAAATTATCTTTTAACAGAGTTTTTAAGAAAACATCAGTTAAAAGATGAAATGATCTGCGTTTATAACCAAAAATTCGTTCTTTTTAATAATAAAAAGGGATTCGTGGTCGATTACGTTTAGGGAAGGATTAGCACCCCTACAACGCCCAAAATTGGTACTTTATAATTATAAATTGTCTCTTATTATTAAAATTTAAAAATTCAAAAATATATTTAATTTATAATCCTATTATTTCAAAATTATATAAAAAATATTTATTTATTTAAAAATATCAGAAAAGAACTTCTAGGTGCCTTAAGACAGCTCTTTTCTTTGATATTGATAAATATTAATTTAAATAATATTGTTTAATTTTTAATTTTAAAATATCAGAATAGGACATCCAGTTGTTTTAAGACTGTCATTTTCTTTGATATTGAAAACTAAATATTAAAATAATTTATTTAAAATAAATAAATATTTATTTATTATATATTTATACAATATTTAAATATATAAACAAGTAAAAAAAAATACAATTCTAACTATATATTTAAAAGCAATAAAAAATACTTAAAATAAATGACTAAAATATAGTGAAATTAAAATTGAAAAACCTAATTCATAATTAATCAGAATTACAGGGATTAAACATGCTATTTTCTTTTTTTGATAATTTAGTGACTAAAATAAAATTATCTAAAATTCGGATATTATAATAAAAAATAAATTAAAAATATAAACTAGGGATTAAAAATATTATTTATTAAAATTAAGGGGTTAAATCTGTTATTTATCCTAAATATATTATTTTAATATAAAGGACTAAAATAAATAAAATTAAAATTTCGAGATCAAATTAAAAGTATTATGAATTCGATTTAGTGACTAAAATGTAAAGTTTACAAGTTAGAAGGACTGCGGACGGGGTTTAACTATTATCTAATTACGCGCATAGTCCTTCCCGAAACGACGTCGTTCGGGAAGGCCTATATAAGGTCAAAACCGGCTGGCCCGAAGGGCCAGCTTCATTTCATTTTTTTTTCTTTCTCTCTCAAGCAGAGAGAGCTCTGGCTTCTCTCTAGCTTCCCTCATCGGAGGGAAGCCGGTCACCGGACGGCAACCGTCTGCCGCCGTGACCGTCACCGCCGGCCACCGCATCCGGTGGCCGGAAAATTATTTTTTACACCATTAAAATAGATCGGGATGTCCTAAGGATGTTTCCGGTGTTCTTTTTCTTTAAAAAGCTCCTAATCGGAGCGAATCTACAAAAGTACCTTCGGTGTTTCGAAGGTTCCGGCGAGATCCGGTGGTCGAGGCTTCCTCGGTAAGTTTCTTTCCTTCATTTTTCTTTCTTTTCTGTTTCTTTGCTGCTGAGATCGTTGGTAGTATTTTGTATATATTTTTTTTCTCGGTTTTGTCTCTTGTTTCTCTGTATCTTTCTCTCTGTTCTTCTTTTTTTTGTCTCTGTCTCTTTTTTTTTCAGGTTCGGGTGGTGGCTTTTATAGCCACCACCGGTGTGGCCATCGGACCGGTCCGAAGAGGGGGTCTCGGTGAGTCACCGGACTACCAGTGGTGACTCACCCCGTAGCCATGGCGTGGACGGCTGGCGTTGGAGCTTCTGGAGCCTTCGGTTGGGACGTGGCAGCGGCGGAGGCGGCGAGAACAGCAACGGCGGCCGCGTGGCCCTAGGGTATCAGACCCTAGGGTTTCCATCTGGAGCCATCTGGACCGTTGGATCTTGCCAGATCCAACGGCAACAAGCTGAGGCGGCTGGGATTAGGGTTTAGGAAACCCTAACTGAAACCCCCAAATGTTTAGGGTTTCTGGTTGGTCTGGACCGGTTCTGGTTTGTTTGTAACTGGGCCGGTCCAGTTGTAATTGGGCCTGTAATTAATTATTTATATATGTATTTAATATATATTTAATAATAATAATGATAATAATAATAATAATAATAATAATAATAATAATAATAATAATAATAATAATAATAATAATATGGGTAAAAAATTAGTATCTTCAGCTGCCCCTCTTTGCTCATTCTTGTGTTAACAAGAATAGGGCAAAGATGAAAAGATAATAAAATTTTTTATCCATTTGGCTTCACTTGATCATAATGGAGATATTGAATAAATTCTTCTCTCTCTCCAGATGAGTTCTTCTCATTATGAACTTTCTGCTGGGGATGATGATGACCTCCTTTTTTTCTGTGATAGAGTCATTCAAAAGGTTGAATAAGCTTTTGATGAGTTATTCTCATTATGAACTTTCTCTAGAAAGGCTGATGCTAATCTATCTCCTTCTATGATAGAATTATTGAACAAGTTCTTCTTATTATAAACTTCTTCTTTCTTCTTCAGATGACGAGTTATTCTCATTATGAACTCTACTTAGCAATGTTGATCTATCAAATGATGAATTCAAGCAAAAGATTGAACAAGTTCTTCTCATTATGAACTTCTTCTTCCTTCTTCAGATGACGAGTTCTTCTCATTATGAACTCTACCTGGCAATGTCGATCCATCAAATGATGAATTCAAGCAAAAGATTGAACAAGTTCTTCTCATTATGAACTTCTTCTTCCTTCTTCAGATGACGAGTTCTTCTCATTATGAACTCTACTTAGCTAATCCATCAATTTGATGAATTCAGGTAAAAGGTTGAACAAATTCTTCTCATTATGAACTTCTTCTTCATTCTTCAGATGATGAATTCAGACAAAAGGTTGAACAAATTCTTCTCATTATGAACTTCTTCTTCCTTCTTCAGATGAGTTCTTCTCATTATGAACCTTCTCTGGCAAAAATAATCCATCAAGTTATGAATTCAGACAAAAGGTTGAACAAATTCTTCTCATTATGAACTTCTTCTTCCTTCTTCAGATGATTTCTTCTCATTATGAACCTTCTCTGGCAAAAATAATCCATCAAGTGATGAATTCAGACAAAAGGTTGAACAAATTCTTCTCATTATGAACTTCTTCTTCCTTCTTCAGATGAGTTCTTCTCATTATGAACCTTCTCTGGCAAAATTAATCCATCAAGTGATGAATTCAAACAAAAGGTTGAACAAATTCTTCTCATTATGAACTTCTTCTTCCTTCTTCAGATGAGTTCTTCTCATTATGAACCTTCTCTGGCAAAAATAATCCATCAAGTGATGAATTCAGACAAAAGGTTGAACAAATTCTTCTCATTATGAACTTCTTCTTCCTTCTTCAGATGAGTTCTTCTCATTATGAACCTTCTCTGGCAAAAATAATCCATCAAGTGATGAATTCAGACAAAAGGTTGAACAAATTCTTCTCATTATGAACTTCTTCTTCCTTCTTCAGATGAGTTCTTCTCATTATGAACCTTCTCTGGCAAAAATAATCCATCAAGTGATGAATTCAGACAAAAGGTTGAACAAATTCTTCTCATTATGAACTTCTTCTTCCTTCTTCAGATGAGTTCTTCTCATTATGAACCTTCTCTGGCAAAATAATCCATCAAGTGATGAATTCAGACAAAAGGTTGAACAAATTCTTCTCATTATGAACTTCTTCTTCCTTCTTTAGATGAGTTCTTCTCATTATGAACCTTCTCTGGCAAAAATAATCCATCAAGTGATGAATTCAGACAAAAGGTTGAACAAATTCTTCTCATTATGAACTTCTTCTTCCTTCTTCAGATGAGTTCTTCTCATTATGAACCTTCTCTGGAAATGTCAATACATCAAATGATAGATTTGAATCTTTGCTAAAATCTTTGAAATTCCTGTTAAAAATTCAACATAGATGAAAATGAATGAAAATGCACCTATTTTTGTAAACACCTAAAATATGATGCATGAATGTTAATTTATTTGATTTCAGACTGGTGAATTGAGTATTTCTTCAATTGTAAAAACCCAATAGATCTTTCTTCTTCAAATCAGAGAATCTATCATCTTTGACAAATGTAGATGTAGATATTATGTAACAAAACCTCTTGAGAATAAAACTCAATAGTATAGTCTCTTGAAAAACTTGTATTCATACAACATGTTGATTCTGATAACAACTCATCTGATTATGAAGTGACCTTTCAAGATGATTTCACAGATATCGATAGTTCTTCTAATACCGAGAAATCTTGAATTCTGATTCTGCTGAGGAGAATAAACTGTTATACTTGACAAAAATGGGATTCTCAGATGCTGAAGCTTCAATAGCCATGTAGAGACGTGGTCCAGATTCATCAATTGCAGAATTGATAAATTTTATATGTGCTGCTCAAATGACTAAAGATGCTGACGCACTTCTTCCGGTAAAAGATGGGAAGCCATTATGTGATGATCCCAATTACAAGAAAAGGCGAAACTTGTGCTATGATTTTTAGGAAAGGAATAAGCAAAAGAAGCTTGAAAAGAAACTTCTTAATGAAGATGATCATGCAGTTCATCTTTTAATTCCAATGATTGGTTCTGTAGTTCTTACCAAACCAGATCAAATAACTCAAAGAACACTTCCAGAAGATGCTATGAACACATTCATCTTCCAAATTCAATGATTGGTTCTGTCCAACCAGATCAGATAACTCAAAGAACACTTCCAGAAGATTCTATGAGCACATTCATCTTTCAAATTCAATGATTGGTTCTGTCCAACCAGATCAGATAACTCAAAGAACACTTCCAGAAGATGCTATGAACACATTCATTTTCTAAATTCAATGATTTGTTTTGTCAAACCAGATCAAATAACTCAAAGAACACTTCCAGAAGATGCTATGAACACATTCATCTTCCAAATTCAATGATTGGTTCTGTCCAACCAGATCAGATA